AGAGAGTTTTATGCTAACTGGATACTAAGAATCACTTGAAAGAGCTCTTATAATAAGCTAAGGAATATATCCTATGGCTGACCCTTAGGGGATAGGGATATATACTGATAATATGAACGAGTACACTACAGTTGATCTAGTTCACTTTTTTAAACACAACACCAAATACAAATGTTCAGATCACCGTTTTTTCATCAGTTTAGAAAGTTGTTTGTAGAGTTGGTTACTCAGTTATGTTTTGTTTTGTTGGTTTTTGTTTGTTTTTTTTCCACTGTAAGAAGCTGGCATAGCAGATGTGTGGGGTGCACTGGACAGCTAGTTTTAACCAGCAGTTAACTCTTATATTTTGCAGTAGTGGGCCTGTATATGCATAAAGGAAAATACAGTCCACAAACTGACCTTAGGTTCTATCATATCTGCAAAACTAAACATACTTTATAAGAACAGAATGTTTCCCTCAGATTTTCAGGCTTAATCTCCCTCTAGAGACAAACTTTAGCAATTGATCTATGGTTCTCATTCAGGCCAGACTGCTTTTTTAGATGCCTGGGCAAAGATATCTCCAGGGAAGGGCTTCAGCTCAGCCAGAAGAGAAAGTGAGGACATCTGAAACTTCACCTGTTCATCTTCAGTCCCCAGAGAACCATAAAAACACAGCTTCTCTTTAACGAGGGTGAAGTCACCTGCATGTTCACAGAAAAGATGTAATTGTACCTCTTCCAGTCACTGTCCTGGCAGTAACTGTGTGCAATTAGCTCTGCTAAACCTGTAAGTGTGTTGCTGTGGGTTTTTTTGTGAAGTAGCCATGTCCAATTTGCAAGCAGACTCTACCTGATGCTTTCTGACTGCCCTACAGACACTCCTTATGTTCCATCCTACCCATTTCATCAGCTGACTTAAGCTTCTTGAAAAAGTTCAGTGCTGAATCTAACCTCCATCCCACCCCAAGCAAAAAATACCTTATTTTGTTAATGCGAATTAAACAAAAAAATATATATAATCTAAATAGTTTAGGCCATGCCATTCAGTGAGGAACGTACCAAGGCATTAAAATACCTTGATAATGTGGCAAGAGATAGCCAGAAGTAATAAATAGTGACATTTGTTTCAAAGAGCACTGTGATAATCTTAAAAGCTGATGGAATATGGCAGCTGTGTCTCTCATACTGCACTTACTGAGAAAAGCTTCCATTTATTTCCAAGTTACTGTTACTTTTGAAGAGGTTTTAATCATGAAAGCTGATTTGATTGGCAATGTCCACATTGATTCTTGTTGAATAAACAGTGTGGCACATTAATCAATTGGAGAAAGCTGAAGAAAAGATTAAGCAAAAGCAATCAGGCTTTTTGAAAAGTCTTGGTATAATCTTCAAAGCACCATTTAAAATAAGCTGTGTTTCTTTTACCAACTTGCTCATTTACTTGTAGCAAATATAATAGTAATGACTGTCAGTTAAACTTTTGTACTAATCTGAAATACAAAGTCATTGAGTAGAGTCAGGTATGCTCTGCTTGACTTGTGGAGGCAGTGAAAAGAATTTTAAAGGAGAAAAGTAATTTGGCAGAGTGGCTGCTATAAACTCAGCAGTGTGTGCTTGAAACTGTTTTTCGGACCCACAAATTATAAAGCTGTAGAATACACCTTTGCATCATTTTATAATAACTGTTGTAATTCTAGCCACCAAACTGCAGATCCGCATAGAGTGTTAGAGGACATAAGAGAAGAAAGCTGAATGACAACCAATTTACATGTGGTTTTATTCCTGGACATCACTTTGCCCACACGACATATATTTTGTGCTGAATTTAGAGACACACATGTCCATTGTGTTGCATTAGTCTAACACAACAAAATAATTGATCCAGATATCAAACCTATACAGTTTGAGAGAAACAAAAGAGAATGGAAAGAAAAGGCAGACAAAACTTTATTGTTTGCAAGTAAAACAATAGCTTATAGGTACTGTTTGTAGCATAATTGCTGGTATGGTTCATTGGGTGTGCATAACGACAGCAAATGCTATGGATACCGTAGCAGTGTTCTGCAGAGTAAGAACACCTGATACACACCTGAACAAATAGTTGGGGAGGAACAATGAAATTCTGCATGTCTGAAATAGAAGATACTCCTGTGTTATTCTGAGGTCTCATGCTGCAACAGAAAACAGTTACTTTTGTTTATTTAGAAAGAGGTATCCCCAAAAAATTGAGTTAAGAATGGGAAGGCACTGAGGCAGAGCTCCACTGAGGCTCCGAAAGCTAGCTGAGGTGAGCCCCTTGGTACCACACCTGTAGTATCCCACAAGTCTGATTTTGAAGAACAATGCCAGTCAAAAGAAGAGTAGAGCTACAGTTCAGAGACACCTTGCTGTGTCTTTTATTTCCCCAAAATGCATTTATTCCCCAATCCCCCATGCTATGCTCTGCCACAGGAAGGCTTGAATAAAAAAAGTTGGCAACTCAGTAGTATGCAGACTATGAATTAAAAATTAACACTTCCAAGGAATTGATATATATATATATTGTTCATTTAAAACAAACAAACAAAAAATCCCAGCAGTGTGTTGTCACTGATATTTGAAACCAGCAGCTAAAAGTTAATCTTTCCAGAGATAACCTATTGCAGAACTTGGCTATTAGCATAGCGTATTTCAATCTGGCTACTAAGAAATAAGAGTTCTTACTTTAGCTTTAGCTTTCAACAACAGTTCAACCTCTTCCTCACTGGAATCCTATTATGCTTTTCCAGTAAGGTGTTAAGACAACAACTCAGGCTTACTATTTATGGAGCTAGTGAGTCTTAAAATAAACTCTGGAGTAAGTGGCTGTTCCTTCAATCCGTGACCTTAAAATTCAGCAAGAGTTGATGTTTTGATGCTCTTATGTACTGAGCTGCCCATCAGACACTGATCTAATCTGCCTGGTGCTGTACCACTTGCTCACATTTCTGCTGAATATGGTGGTAACATAGGTCAGTGGGACATCCACCCTGAATTTACCTATATTGAATTGTTTGTCACCCAGTGTCCCCCACCAACTTCCTCAGCATGGGGCTAATAATTAAGATTTTTTTCTTGTTAAAACTGAAGTAGAATAAGCTGAGAATGATTAACAGGAATGGTGAGGACAGGGAA